ATGTGGAGTCTGGTTGCCTTCAGGGTGAGATGGTCTGAAGAACTTTTCGGTTTGTTTTCCGTCTTGGTTTAAAAAGGGATGGCCAAATTGCAAAAGATAGGTAGCAAACCTTACTGAATGTTACTATGAAATTGGAAGCAAGTGAGACCAGGAGCAGTGAGTTTTGACTTTCTCTAAGATTGGCCCTCTGATAAGAAAAGCAATTTGGGATGGAAAGGATGAAATGACATGAAGAGAAAGAGAGCAGAGCTTGAGTTAGCAGTCTTACTTAGCCTCACTTTTCTAAGCTGTCGAACAAAGAGTAGACTACAGGAGCTATCTGAAAGTAGGGCTAATACTTTTACACTTGTGTCAAAGTTTTGTAGTATACACCTCTAGAAGGGCACTGGCTAATATCAAGTATAGAGGAAGAAGGCTTCCCAATATATCCTTCATTACCAATCTCTGTCAGCACCCCAGAAACTATGAACACCTAGTCTGGTTTCCCTTGCTGGGAGTTCATACTCAGCAATCAACATATTGCATACCAAATGTTGTAGTGCATGCTTCCAGCCGACGGGGTGCTAACGTTAACATAGCCAATATGGTTAAAATGTACAAACACAATGAATAAGATGCTTTCAAGAAATAAGAGTCTGCGAAGTCAAGCTCTACTATCAAACAACCTGCAAGGAGTAAAACTAATAGAAAAAACTAATTGAAAAAAAAGTATAACATGTGGTCGTTTTTGAAGACAGTTTTCAAATTTTGTAGTTGACCATCACAGTCTAAATGCTGTCAGTCTTCTCAGTCTTCAGGGGGCGTTGTACTTTTTGTTATTGCTGTCATTGGGGTGAGCCTTTCAGCTTTACAGAAGAGCACTAGACCTTATATCCTACTTCAATTTAGACTGGAAGGAGTTTCCAACCAATGGTCAGTTAGTTCAGTGACCAAAACAGATAAACAAGCAGGTTTGATTATATGTGTTTGATAGCTCTGATACACAAATGTTATCAAGTTAAGTCCTCTCTGGTGTATCAGGGATCTAAGCAGGCCACTAAGTGAATCTTTGTGTGAAATGTAAGTGAATAGACACAGGAAGTAAATGCAGCACCTACTGTCCAATATTTATTACCAGAGATTGCTTTGGAAGCTGAGAAAAAAAGACAGATTCACTGAAGACCAGCCAAATCACTTTTGCTTATAAGATAGTAACATTTGTGTCCAGATCTCCATAGATTAAGTATTCCTGTTCAAGCCTGTGGATTGTACCTATCTAACCAAGCATTTCTAGTTTGAAATTGCATTCACTTCTTTTGTCCTTATGTGACAAAACTTCACTGCACTCAAGCCCGAACAATTGATGGTTCAAACGGCTTTGATGCTGGCTTGTTCATACCTGTTGAGCCAGCTGGCTCACCAGACAGGGGGATTCTACCTTTAGGTTTCGGTTAACATACTGGAAATGTTCATGGATTATTTTCTTTGTTCATCTCTCCCATATACTTTTTCTCCCTTTTCTTAGCCACTATTATTCTTTTTTCCTTTTCCTACCTTAGAATGTTCACTCTAATCCCATACCATGCAATGTCCATGTAATTGGGAATTTTGTTCATCTTTATTAATTTCTGTTGCTGTTATATTCCACTTCATCTAGGCATAATCATGTACTCATGATGTAGTCAGGATTTAGGATGAAAACTAGCACTGAAATCAGCATAATTTTACATATAATGAGATTTTAGTGTGTTAGCCTTGAACTGTAGCCCTCAAAAATTGAACTTTTTTTTTTTCTGGGGCCCATTTTCTCCACACTGGTCAGGCGGCATGAAGTGTTGGATCTGGATGTTCTTCAGAATTACGTACAGAGATGGACAGAATATACTACTTTTAAGTGGACAGTGCATAGCAAGACAATGTAATATTTTACCATTGCTGTGGATGTTTACTCCAATCATGTACAGAGGCTTCAGATTTCAAAATAAGTTGTGCAGAAAGTACAAGGAGGTGGACACATACTACTAACAAATGGCACGGAGAAGCAGGGCTCAAATATATTTCTTTTGGAAAAACAGCCTCAAAATAATATTAAGACTATGACTAATGGACAAAAACCACAGATGCAAACTAAGGCCAGCATTTTGTTCTTAACCTGGAACATGGTGAAAAATAATCCTTCCTCTTCTTTTTTTTTTAAACATAGTTTAAAAATTTAAAAGAGAGATATATAGGTCAGATTTAAATATAAAATATGTCATCTCAAATATCTTGACTGTTTATATTGCAAAATAAACACACTTCCTAAACTTTGCTTCTTACTATATCGTATTTAAAATATCGACATCAAAAAAATGCACACTGGTTTTCCATACTCATGCCTTTTTTAATTCAGCCACTTTTCTCATTTATTAAGAGCAACGAACCACATCTTGGGCCAACATTTTGGTGCTACAATTTGCAGCACAGGCATTTGTTAATAAACAAAAAATGTAACCTCTAGAATCAGTAAACTAAACAGTGAACTTTAAATTTAGTGAATGATCTTCTTATGTGGACTTTTACTGACCCTTTCAATATGACTAATACAATGACTGACACAGAATGCAGTGATAGATATTACTACCCAAGCTAAGTTCACACAGAAACACAAGAGAAAAATTAAAAAAAAAATAGTCTATCCTACTACATGGTCACCTTATCTGAAAGTCTAATTTCTTTGGCAATGATTCAGCCACCTAATAAACGTTATCAGACCTAATTAGAAAAATACTGATATATTTTCCCATATGTTTTATACCAAATTTGTTCTTTGAAACTTGAAACGGCAGATAGTTCATCAGCTGATACAAGTTGTCTTAGCTCCACTGAAAGCAATGACAGTTTCTGTCATCAAAGGATCTGTCCCTTTTGTCTGCTAATTTTATAGATGTATTTCTATTCAATTTTTAATGCTAACATTTTAAAGAGACCCCATAGCCTTTTGCAGAGCAGTAGAACTGGTGAGGAACTCTTTACTATAATCCAGAACAGTCTACAGCGTATGGCTTAGAAGGAATATATTTACTATTACTCTCTTACACTTGATCTAATAAAGACATTACCACTCCCTGCAGCTTTGACATGGCTCTTTACTTAATGGCCTTTCAGAGAGACATTTGAAAGTGTTAAATGGTGAGATATCTCTAGAACTATTGAAAATCAAATGAGAAAATTATTATCTAAAGAACTGTGAAAATAATGAAGGTGTTTTTTATTATTGCTTTTTTTTGTTTTGATATTATTTACAAAAAAAAAAAAATTTGAGATGTTTCAATTACATTATACTCTATATTGAAGTTATGGCCTGAATACATTTACTAGGTGGCATTCTACAGCCACACACTTTATAACCGTTCTGTGACAAAGGAAAATTTATTAGAAATGTAAATACCAAGGAAACTTTTTGGAAAGCATCTTAGTTTTCATATAGTTCACTAGCCTGATTCTTCCTTTATACACACAACAACACAAATATTTGCATTGATTCACTACTGGATTAAGACAAATTCACTGTTTCAAAATGGCAAAAATATCCCAGATGCCACAAGTGAGAAGAAAACAAAATTTTTCTGGAGGATCAGCAGCAAAGAGTGAAAGTGCTTATTTTGTTATTCTCTTTGCTGCTTATCCGTATTTGGCTTTTTATCCCCTTGCAGTAGCTGTTGTCTTCTCCTCAGCAAATGTGGTGTGTAGTCAGTAATGTTTACTTTAGATTAAAACTACCTAAAAAGGTTATCCCCAGAAAGAGGCATTGTGACAAGTTTTTATAATCTGAGCACAGCTGCAGAAGGTCAATATTCTCAGTCCTGATGCAGTCTGTAGAGTTTCCCCATTAATGCTACACGCATTGGTACATGTAATACTAACATTTTCTGCACCAATACTGCTAATTAATTAATTTGCATGTCTGTGCTGTTACAAAACCTCACAATGCCATGGCTAAATTTAGCATGTTTTTTTTTTTTTTTTTAAATAATGTGATTGCTTGCATTTTAAAAATCTAACTACCAGTATGGTTTTTACTTTCCTGGACGTGTCACTGAAAGTGTTTTAAGAGGTAGCTTTGCAGTTTGAAGTTAAGTAGTTTTGAATAGCAATGTATGCAAGTGAAAAAAAGTGAATTTTAAAACTTTCATACAGAGGTTTCTAAATCTCTGCCACTCCATAGTATCTTTTGAGTTTGATTTCTGACATCTGAGCACTCTGCTAAGCGTTGAGAATCTGAAGCCTTTGCACCATCAGTCAGGAGAGTTGACATTTGTACGAAGAAGGAAATAAAATAGTAAATGGCTTTTTCCAGTTACATCAACACCTGGGTTCTTGTGTCAGGAAGCCGAAGTCCTACCAGACCTCCACATACTAGAACAGTAGAAGCAAGGAGAATAGGGATTGCTTTGGTGATACCAACAAGGGAACCAAATATTAAGTTTCCAAGCACAGCTGCTGCTTTGCATAGTGCATTCAAAAAGCCAAAGCCTGTTGCCCTAGAAGAGAAAACAGAAGAAAGTTAAAAAATGGGTGACTTTGAGACAAATCCTCAGTGAGAACAAATCAGTATAGCCCTGATATCTTAAACAGAATTTATGCCAACAAAGATTCTCTGCTTGTCTTTATAATACAAAATCAGAGCTCAGCTGCTACAGCATGTGTTGAGGCAAATTCATTCTGCTGCCTCAGGGAACAAAATGTGAAATGAATGACTGAATAGGTAACTTTACACCTCTACAGTAGAACAAAGGACTTGCAAACTGAAATTCAGTAACACTTGAGATGCTGGATTGGGAGGCAGGAGGTGGGAAATCTTTTGAGAGCTACTTGGTAATTTGGGAAAGAAGTCACAAGAATAAAAAGATTATAATCTTGAAATATTGAATAGAAATAGATTTCTTACAGGTGGTACACATGTTCAACCAGTGCTTTTTCAAAAGGTTAATGAAACCTCCAATAATAATGAATACTGGACTCTTAAAGCTAAAGAAAATAGGGTATTAAAAAAACCTGCTTGGTGCAGAAGACATACCTGAGAAACTTTGGAAAAAAGGGAAAGGAAATAGATTGCCAAAAGAAAATATCACCCAAACAACTCAGAGGGGCTTTTGCATTACAGTGGTGCGATTTTAGTAGTCTGAGTTAAGTATTTTAGATGTTTGGTTACTCGTCCATAGATGTGTTATGCAAACTATATATAAATATATAAACTATATATAAATATATAAACTATATATATATAAAAAACATCATTTTAACAAATTCTGTTTAATAAATTCTGACAGAACTGTATGATTCATAGTTGCAGGAATAACCTTGTCCTACCAAAAGTGTCCTAACATCTGCCTAACTATCCATACCATAGTAGAATCTCTAACATTTCTCAAATCTCTTAAAAGCAAAAGAGAGAAGGAGTATGCAGAGCTCACAATATACTCACTGGGATAAAATAATAAGAATCAGGAGGATAGAAACTTATTTTTGGAACAAAATGTTTCTTTCTTGTTAATACTGCCATTAGAAGGAAAAAAGCCTTCAGTCTAAACAGCAAGGATTAACAGAAATGTTAATGGTCTGAGTGACTAAAAAGAGCCCTAGTTATTGTACTCAGATGCATGTGAAGGAAAGGAAGAAGTTTTGTGCTCAGATATAGCCTGCATTCCTAGGAAATAAATCTGAGAAACTGCTCATAAAGAGCAGCCCAGATAATCAACTCGAAGTAAGCAGACTTGATCCCAGCAGAGAGCGAAGATATAAACTCTCAATATCATTCACAGAACTATTTTTTTTCATTTTGATAACAGCAAACCATGGTATCAAGGGAGAAGAGATCTTCTCGCTCAGGCAACCAATGGACATGGCCACAGCCCACAGTGTGACTAGTTTATCTCTTCTGCTCTTCTGCAAATCTGGCCACTGGATCTCAATAGTGTCGATCAGTCAGGCTCTTCAGTGTCCTACATCCAAGTCCTATACTGGGGGAGAGTTAAGTGTCTGTCTAGTATAGTTGACGAGGATATAGGGGATTACAGCACTACCCATTCCCTGACTATCCGACATGCTGTGCTTCAGAACTACACCAGTCCTGGTATATTTGAGGACCTGCACCAAAAGAACGATGAAAGTAGGTCTAGATCCTTCTCGTATATTTCTGAATCACTCCAGTTTTCTCTAAGAAACAGAACTCTAGTTAACCCAGAATCCGAACAGTATTCAGAAATGTGCTAACCTGAAGTAATTGTACTTTGAATGTCGAATTCTTAATTAGCTAAAAGAATATTTGCAGAACAGAATTAAGACATGGAACAGACTAGCAAATGTACATTTAAAAAGTTTTTTTTCCATTAATGTTAAATATTCATTTATCAATGATGGCAGACCAAAGTCAAAGCACTTTGCCTAAAACATTATGTAATTATAATCAGAAGAGTTGCTATTTCCTGCTCCAGTTTTAGCTCTGTGTATTATATGTCTTTTCTGACCCCAGGACAAGACAGAAGTTAGTCTCTTTTGCAGGGTGATTATAATAATAATAATAATAAATTTATTTGTAATAATTATAATCACTTATAATAATTTATTATTAGCTTGGCTATATATCTCATAGAATCATAGAATCATAGAATGGTTAGGGTTGCAAGGGACCTCAAAGATCATCTAGTTCCAACTCCCCTGCCATGGGCAGGGAAATCCTCCACTACACCAGGTTGCCCAAAGCCTCATCCAACCTGGCCTTGAACATCTCCAAGGATGGGGCATCCACAACTTCTCTGGGCAGCCTGTTCCAGTACCTCACCACCCTCAATGTAAAGAATTTCTTTCTTATATCTAACCTAAATCTGCCCTCTTTCACCTTAAATCCGTTGCCCCTTGTCCTATCACTACACACCCTTGTAAAAAGTCCCTCTCCAGCTTTCTTGTAAGCCCCCTTTAGGTACTGGAAAGCTGCTGTAAGATCACCCCGGAGCCTTCTCTTCTCCAGGCTGAACAGCCACAACTCTCTCAGCCTATCTTCATAGCAGAGGTGCTCCAGCCCTCTGATCATCTTTGTGGCCCTCATCTGGACTCGTTCCAGTAGCTCCATATCCTTCTTGTATTGGGGACTCCAGAGTTGAACACAGTATTCCAGGTGGGGTCTCACGAGAGCAGAGTAGAGGGGCAGAATCACCTCCCTCGACCTGCTGGCCACGCTCCTTTTGATGCAGCCCAGGATACGGTTGGCTTTCTGGGCTGCCAGTGCACATTGCCAGCTCATGTTGAGCTTCTCATCAACCAGCACTCCCATATCTCTTGCAATTGACATCAGTGTTTCAGTCTCTTTAAAATATCTCAGAGTTAGCAAAGTAATTATTATTTTGCCTGAAGTAATGATAATTCCTTTTTGTGTAGTATCAGCGATATCTAAGGAAAGAGACATAGGTCATTATGATGGCAGAGCACAAACGACCTAGAAACACTGTGAAAAAACAAGCAGAAGCAACTCAGATATGCCTCTTGAATATTCAAAGCCCTTATTTGCTTCTTTTTTCCTAAATTTCATTAAACCTGTAGCACTTTTACATAACACTTATTGCCAAGAAAAGCTAAACATGGACATACTGAGATATCCATCTACAAAGTGCCATGCGCTGCGGTCCGACAGCGCAGAACAGTGAGGGCTGCCTGAGAGCACAACGCTGAGAGCAGATGAGGAAGCTTTGGAAGTGCTGTCTGTGAAGCTTTTTGACAGAGAAATATTTGCAGCAGCTCCTTGGAAATGTCTTCCTCAGAGAAGAAATGAGAATGTGCCTTAAAATCACCCATTTTAAGGAAGAATTTTGGAGGAATCAGTCCAAAGGAGAAGTGGGAGGTGCACTGAAATAAGCAGCGAAGATCAAATCTCTACCACATAAACATCTGTACTACAAGGGCAGATAAAACAAAGCATCGGAATATCTGAAGGAAGCTGAGCAGGATGGGGAGAAGGTCCTGAGAGGGAAGGAGCTCCAGACTGACGCATCTTCTAGGCTGAATGAGAGTGCAGATAAGGAGAAGCATGAAGAGGAATGACTGTGGTAAAACAGACTTTATCACAAACAGGTAGGAAGATGTTAAAGACAGCACAGTCAGCCTGAAAATCAGAGTTTATGTGATAGGATAGTAACAGGCTGCAACTATTTTGAACAAGTCAGGAGAAGGAGAGGAAAAGAGTCAGAACTGTTCTAATTTTGGCCTTGTTTATGTACAGAAAGTATTTCTAAAGTTATGGTGGTGACTGGTTGTGATCAGTGTCTGCACATGTATAGCTGTCAGTACTGATGTAAAACCAGACTTGCCCCTAAATAACAGTAACAGGAAAAAAACAGTGTTCAGCTAGAGAAAATAGACAGTCATCAACAGCCTCAGTATATTCAGAAAGAGATCAGAACTCCCCAAAGAATACATAGATCTAGCTAAAGCAAATTTGGATAGAGACAGGCAGGAAATCTTTGGAAAGGCAATAGCACAAAACATATGGGGATGCTTTACTTATATTCGGTGTTGTTTTATACTGCCTTATAAAGGTAAGCTGTTTCACAGATGCTATTTTCTTATATCAACTAGTTATAACAGAGGTCTGAATATAATTTTCTGAGCAATTTGAACTATTTCTATTCATATGCTGGAATCTGCAGATAGCACATTCAGGGTTGCCACTGTGATTTAAGTCTGTTATAGGTTATATACCCAAGATGACGTTATTAAGGTTTAAAGTAATTTTGTATATACAATATCTCTTGTATCTGAGCAAAATTAAGGTAATTTGTTGGCACTGTAAAACTAGTTCTGCTTTGTAAAAAGGAACTTATCCGATTTTTCCAATTGTAAGGGGTCATTATTAGTCTAATCTCATTAATGTTATCAAATTATAAACAAAGAAGAGTAAGACAAAGTAAGCCTGTTTTTATTGCCCGTGGCTGTCCTGATGATACAAAATGAACAACGCAGCAAAAGTTCAATCTTTTGATCTTTAAGCAGTTTTCAGGCATGTCCTTTTGTCTAAAATATGCACATCATTGGTAGGAACAGTAAGATTTTTACAGGCTTAAGTAAAATGTTGCGACCTGTACCTGAAAAGCATTGTCACTGTTCAATATTCTGCCTTCATATTCTTTACTTCTAATACTATGTTTGACTGTGAATTTGTTCTGTAGTATAATAGTCAGAACTAAGTCATTAAGCAAACTGTTGAGCTCTAGGGATAACAAATTCAGACTTACTGGTTATTAAACATCTATCTTAGAACAGTATTTGTGACTCAAATGAGCTAAAATCTGTATTAATTCATGCCTTTAATATTAATTCCACTGAATCCAGGGGCGTAAGGATAGCCAGGCAATAAATGTGCTGCAATTCACATACATACATGTGCACAGTCTTCTCTGGCAGCACTACTACGGTCTTTTGCTACAGTGCTCAGGAAAGTGCTAGAGTGTATGGAAAGTCTGCAAATGATCACAGATATGTGATGTGTCATCTCAGCATCACGAATGAATTAAGTGAAAAAGTCCAAAGGCATAGGGCCGTTACTATATACACTAATTTCCATTACGTTGATCAGTTACTGGGTGAAGCACTGGCACAGAAATGGGGTTTTTTTGAGTCCATGAGCAATCCTTATTACTGGTCAAGGGAGTTCGGAAGCAAGAATCCCTTGTACAGCTAGAGAATGTCATTAAATTCTTCAGACACATCAGTAAGATACTACTGGTGAATCAATTTGGGATTGTCTTGAAAAAAAAAAAAAATTTTAGTATTGATAACATAAAAATGCGGATGTCCTATAAAAGTGTCAGGTCTGAGAGAAAGCTGAATGTTAGAGAAAAGGAATCTTCCCCAATGACTTTTACTCCTGTTGCTGGGAAAGCTGCAACAAAGAATAATGCTTAGCTTCCTTTCACCCAAGCCCCACATAAAAATGGCAAGAGTCCAAACAGTTAAAAATAGAGGGATTATCCAAGCTTTTAGATTAAAAGAGCTTGTTTCCTGGTTGCCACATATGCTCCTTCTTAGACCAGGTGTTTGTATTGCTGTATAAAATACTTCAGGCCCACTTTTGCATTACTGATTGTCAGAGCACCTAAAAATTTCATTGTCCTGCTGTGGAGTGCTACTGAATGTGTAGCACAGATATTTGATAATTTTCTTGCCAGAGCTAGTGCTGAGCCTATCCAGCAATACTCAAAGGCTATTAAAACAGAGTTACTGAATGTGGTATTAAAAATTTTCTGATGACCAGACATTTTAAGATCTTTAAAAATATTAGTACAAAGATGCATATCATAGCCTGGCCAATTATAGCACTCAGTGTGCACATAAAACTATGGAATTTGCCTTTCTGCCTTGAACTACTGCCCAAGGCATTGCACGGGTTCAGTATGCCGTGCCTTGAAAACCTTAACATGAAATTTCAGCAAAATATAGTTGAACCACATCCACAGGATGGCAGTAGAAAATAGCTGTCAGGATGTCTACCGTAAGTTGATGGCTGCTGTTATGACACAAAAGAACGGAAAACTTCTCTTCTGACAGCCACAACAATATGAAGTTGGACTTAAGATACCCTGTGAATAATATTTATTACTCTGGAGATAGGTTCTCAGGGCTCAACAAGAAGAGAAGAAGATAAATGTAATGAACTGAAGATAGGTGACTTATTTCTTAATTATGACCAAACCCATATGAACTTATTTCAGAGATATCAAAAAAAGACAAAACAGGATGACTTCATTTTATAGCACACCTTGAATTCTAAATATTCCTGGCCAAGAATCAAACCCAGATGTCTGGCAGCTGCAGTAAAACTGATGAATTGTTGGTTATCTGATGCAATCTGACCTTGATTCACTCTGTGGGAGATGACCTATTTCTATTCCAGTTTCTGGTTAGGATTGGGTTATCTGTTGTATCAACTTCTTGACAAGAGCCTTGGCTTATAAAGTTGGTGCTTCCCAAGTTAGTTCACAAGAAGATATTTATCATTTATGCAAAAGCAACAATTGTATTTAAAAGTCATAAAAATCTCCTAAATGTTACTTCTTCAGAGAATTTTAACTCCATTCATATTTATATTACAGGCAGAGCTAGGAAACTGTACAATGTTCTTGCAAGCCCCTTGGGCACGCACATTACAACACAAGTCATAATTACCTCATCACACAGTGTTTTTTTTCCGCATCACTCTGCCAATGCACAGAACAAAGAGATCTTGAGGGTAAAACATAAATGCAGTGAAGAAAACTTGTTCACCTCATTTGCTGCAGGAATTTGAAGGTGCACTGTGAATAAGGTTGGGGACTGCAAGATGAGAAAGCAATCTCATAGTTAAGGTAGCTGAGTGCTGTCAGGAGAAAGGTTACAATCCCTACCTCTGCTACAGAATTTGTATATGATGTGAACAAGTCATTTAAAGCTAACTAAATGGTCGTGAAGTATGCATTTCACATTTTCTGGGTGCTCAGCTTAGCACCTGCAGGTTTCTGTTACTGAAGTGCTGAGCACTTTTAGCTGCAGTGGGCAGCATTTTCAGCCCATTCTCTCTTCTAAAATGCTCAGTGACTCGGATTGTTGGTACCACGTGTCTAATTGAACACCTAAAGTAGTTTTTAACAATATCTTTTTCCTCTATGCCTCAATTTCTACATCATCTCCTTTCAAAACAGTGTTTGGAAAATATGGGAAGTTTATGAAAGAGTAGGAAAGCCGTCCAGGAGCACCCAAAAATGTTCTCAAGAAATTTAATAACTCTCCTTCAGAGAAGAGCTTTCAGGGCTATAGAATAGTTTGGTAGGCCTTCAAGAGGGTCACGAGCAACCAAAGACTTTTCAGAACTTGCTGACTAGTCCAGAATAAGCCGTTAAGAATATAAGGCAAAAGACAAGAGAGAAGATGAGACAGAAGATGAGTTAATGTAAGTTCTTTACATTGTGAAGCTGGGTTAATTTACTTGTTTATTGGAAATCAGCTAGTTTATAGCTAGACATCATCAGTGTCCTTTAAAATTTAGGTATTGAAAAGGGAAAAAAAAATATTGTCAAATTATTACTTGTTACCACCACGTGTGTCATCTGGAAGACAGAAACCTGCGTATGACTAGCATTAGTAACACCTTCACCTTTTAAAACAGCTTCATCAGCTACCAGAGAACCATTTGAAATCCATACAGCTTCTATTATCTCTTATTTTAGCCATTTTGCAAATCAATTGAGATTTTATAAAGAACATCCAGGCAAAAACTATGCTAAACTGGCATAAAATTTGAAAGTACTCATCGAGAATAAAAGACAAACTACTTAATTACCTCAAATCCAGGTATAAGTAAATTAAATGTAAATAGGCAGATGAGTGTGAATGCATGCTGAATCCAAATCTGTTACGATTTTTAAGCAACCTTAACTCTTCCCTGCAGGCAACTGATGAAGAGGAAGCTGAAATGGGTGCCATGTATCATATACACTCTGTATTTCCAAATTGCTCACCACACCCTTACCTGGCAAAAAGCCAGCATGATCCCTAAATAACCTGGAGTACGATTTATGAAACACCTTTTGTATTATGCTGCACCACACTGGCAAAGCCCCAGCGGTTTGGCAGCTGGCTGGTCTCCAAGAGGAGTTGTGCAGGAGGAAAAGGAGGGGCTGCCCAGCCTGGTCTCTTGTGCATGTTAGTGTGAACTAGCCTCCTTCTACACACTTTTCTTCCAGCCCAACCTCCAGCTGCGTTTTGCTGCTGGTTTGAGATCATTTCACTGGTTAGGAGTAAGAAAAAAATACACACTGGAATATTAAAATAGTGACAGAATGAGCAAGGTGGTTGTGCCTACATTGCCTTTTGAGGGGAAACTGGAAGCCAGTTTCAGAACCAGATTCACTCTGGATGCAGCTTTGAAGTGAAAGAGGCCATCATCTTAAGTATGAAGGACATCATATGCAAAACCAGATCAGACAGCTTCATGTACCATATGTGTCTGGAAAGGCTGTTTAGCCCTGCAACTACTTGCAGAAGTGGGAAACTCCCAGCAAACTGTGGAAAGTCATGCCATGGAGGTCAGAGGAGTCTTAGAAGGATTTGGGAGTCTTAGGACAGGATCATCAGAGATGGGTAATGGTGTCCATTAAACTGTAGCTAGTCTGGATGAAAAAATATCAGAGAAAAAATTCTGGGAAGTGAGTCACTGAATGTATTAATTCTCACATAGTTCTATGAAACATGGAAAAGCTTTGCCCCAGCCTAAAAAAGATGTGTCTAGATTTTCATAGATTTTGGATGATCAAATAGTTCTTGCCAGAAGAGCAAATTCCTGAGGTGTAAAAAAAAAAGTAGTGTTTAATATTAAAGCTTAGTGCTTTGTATTCATAAGCAGCCTAGTATAGTTATTCGATACAACCACAACAATGGACATCAATTTCTTGTCTGAAGAAGCATATATTTTTAAAATGCCAGTGAAAATAAAACAGAGAAGCCAGTCTTCAGTCTTCCTCTCCTGACAGACAATACTAAAGCTGATACTTGCACCTCTGTCCAAGAACTTAGGCTTGCTAGCAAACAGGAAATATTTTTCACCATATTTGAAGCTTCTAGTGAATTACATAATGAATAGTACTGTGACCAGGAGGATGGGCATAATGTCTCTTGGCAGAAATCTGAGCAATTTTACATAAAATTTGTTTAAGATGGGGAGGGGAGTGAGATGTATCAGTCTTTTCAAGAAAACACAGTTTTTGCTTTTTTACAGTCAACATACAACAGCATATGTCCTTTAGTCCATCAAGTAACATAAGATCAGCATTAAAAAGTACCCTGTATTTGAAAAAAACCCAACCATGTCATCTAGCAGCAACGTTTGCAGGGTACATAAACTGTCCTGAGTTTTTCTGCAAGAGCTTTGAAGAGTCGTGAGCAGTGCCCAAGACATTTTCGTACGTGCTTAATGCTGAGTATGTACATTCCTAGTGACCCTGCATGCAAGTTTATGGCAGACTGATTAACAGCTCAGCATGGTTCAAGTCTACAGTCTCTTCCAGAAGATGCTGTACAGCTCCAGACAGTGATTTTTATTATCAACTCCACAACTTTGCAGCCAACAAACAAATGCAGCTATATTGCTGTTTTGGATCCACTGTTGCCTTCATAGCCAGTTGCACTAAGGGAAACTCAGGAATATTCAATGATTGTTTTCAGAAATACTATTCATTAGTTGTGTTTTAAATGAGAGTAGCAGTTAGGCCTTCTTTTTTCATATGAAACTGCATTTGTGGTATTTTCCTGATTAGGTCACATTTAGTGTGAAATACATGCCAAATAGCTAAAAAAATATCTTTTTTCCCCTTGCTATTCATGGGACAAACTATTATTTCGGCCCACTCAAAACATCATTACCTCTGTAGAGCTCGTATGTAACAATTTTTTTTATAATTTCTGCTAGCATATAGAGATAGTGCCAGTGAGGTTCGGAGAGGTGTATCTGCACATACCTTCTGTCTGTAGGATACAGCTCCACAGTAACGACATCTAGAGAGTTCCACGCTGAGATGGTGAGGCCGTTGTAGAGACACAGCATACCTATCATCATGGATTCACTGGTCCCAAACCACAGGAAAAAACAGCTAATGCCAGAGAGAACCATGGAACCACCTAGACATAAGACATGTGAAACGAACACGAAGTGGAGCTGTATTTAAAGAATTATCTTTGTTTGTTTTGTCTAATGTTTCTATATGCACAGTGTCACAAAATAACTGACCCATATATTCGAGTTAAAAACTAAAGAGACCTCCTGTGCTGGTGAGACCAGTCAGGCAGAAACACATTGCAAGGAGCTCATAGAAAAAAAACTTAACTCCTCAAATATTAGAACATATTATAAAGTATAAAGCTGGAACACTCTCTGATCCCCCAAAGCAAGCTGCCTGAGGAAAACTACCCCCATTCTTCCTTGTTCATCATCTTCTGCAATTACGTGAAACTCGTTCATATATTGTAGCAATAAAAAGACTGAGTGGGAATTGCATTTGTATAGAGATGTTCTCCTAGAAAATGAACACAATGAACTACCACATAGTTATTTAAGAAAATTGAAAACAGATTTATCATTGCAGATAACCCACAGCAGATATCTTCCAACTGTGTGCTTTGCAAAAGAGAGAACAGGCAAAAGACTGCTGACCCTTTTGAGGAGCTGCTCCACGAGCTGAGGGTTACAGCTCGCTTTCCTTGCAGCTGGAGCAAAGACAAGCCAACGGTCAGCACTCTCCAAAATCTCATCCCAAATGCTTAAACAATGATCTTGTAATATCAGAGTCAAGAACAATTACTGATAATGTGGCATAGCAGAACTGATTACAGAACCCTTTGTTCCTAGAGTTTCTAAATAGGAGCTTTCTAAAAAGGCACTTATGATGCCACATAAACAAAGTTTCTGCAGGAGGAATATTTTGCATCTCCCTAAACTAAATTCTTTAAAAGGAGAACATGTTTCTTTATCAGGAGATAATTTAAGTTTTGGTGTTTTTCCCTGTTTCAAAGAGAAGCCCCTACCTAGCATTGTTAACCGCCCAATTCTATCCATCAGTAGAGCAGACACAATATTCCCTGGTAACACTGCCAAAGTTCCCAGGAAATTAACAAAGTAAATCCAGTAGGCACTGTAGTCATCATCGAAAGAAATCTGGCATCCTGTCCTTATGTGGAAAAATGTGCAATTTATCAATTCACTGTCAACAAATTTATATTGCTCGAGATCTGTGGAAAGAAGAAAAAGAAAAATTTTAGCTAACATCTGACTCCATGCGCAGCTTTTGATTAAAAACATTTCAAGTTTAGACAACTTTAATGACAACTTCGAGCATTCACTTCTTCCTAAAATGGCACTAGTTACTGCTGTTAATTTTGATACCTTTTTATCTTAGTAGAAAAAATATGCAAAGCTCATGAAAAAGAGCAACTCTAAGGCCTGGAATTAGGCAAGTTACATTACCATATTTCAGCTCTTCTTGAACCGTATTTGGTTAAAGCCTTTCAGCACTAGCTGGTCTTGTATAAAAAGCACTGGGTATCTGCAAGTTTCTTTCTCTCAATCTTGCTTGGTATCAGACCTTCTATTTCCACATCAGACAGCGTTTCAGATGAGACTGCTGATCGTGCTTAGTTTGGTTTGACTTCCTTTAAAGTGAAACATTCGTACAGAATTCAGATTAAATTAGTTTTTATTTCTGAGAAAGCCTTGTGGTCTTCAGCTCAAAGACGGATGAGTTACTACATGCAACCGTTCAAGCCATTCTTCTTCCAATACGATTTTGGAGATCTCTTCCTGTACCTCCACTTTCTTTCTGTTTCTTCTGTCAGCCTTATAACCCTGAATGAAGAACACCTTCCTTCTATGCAAAGAAAGATGGGCACTGCTTAAAAACTTAACTCTATTACTATTATGATTGCTGCAGTTACGGGAAAGCGGTAAGAAGTGTTTCATCTTTCCAACAAGCTTAGTTGGCCATATTCTACTTTCAGTTTTATCTTATTAAACTGAAAGAAAAAAAAGAATCCTCTGTTTAAATGTATGAAAATACACATTCCTGGTTTTGTTACAAGACTGGGGAGAGTAGGAATGATTATGGATTAGGTAGTTTGAATCCTGAACTCAGATTCCTATGCCACGACAAGTATAATGAACAAACTATTTCACCAGTCTCATTTAGACTAAATAAAAATATACTAGTTAAAGCTACCAGTAAAGCAATAAATATATTTTCTCCTCTCCAGACTGAAACTCTTTAGAGATTATTAAAATCAAAGAGATGTTTATTATCTGATTCAATATTAGGCCTGTGGTATCTCCAGTGCAGGTGTGATCCTTTCACTTTTCTATTATAACATTAGGGAGGCCCGTTGCTTTTTATAGTTTTTTATTCTCTACAAGAGGACTTGTATGCCTTATTAGAAATACAGAAATTATAAAGATATAATGAGAACATGCAGCTGAACAATGAATGTTCAGAGTTTTTTCTTGTAATACCTGTGTTGTAGAAGGTGGTATTCACGAAAGTACAGTTCCTGAAGTATGTGTTCAGTGAAGTAATGTCTTCAAACACACAGTTCTTAAAAAGTGAATCTTCAAAGGTTACTGATTTAAACTTCATCATAATAAACCTGCCCGATATAAATAATTTCTGTCAGTCTATCTTCATAGGTTAGAAAGAGCAATAGGTCAAGCTGATGCAGCTGTATAGGTCTAAAAAAAATCTCAATCCCAATAATGATGATTCTTTAAAGGCACTCAGGAGATGTAATTAATGATCAGCTGATTCTAGAGTATCACCAACCTTAATCATCAACCAAAATCAATGTCATTCTGGAATAGCCTTGTAAAATCACTACTACTTGTAATTTGACATTACAGTAAGAATTTGGGAGATCATGCTCCAGAAACTCAGTCTCTTGGAACAAACAAGCACCTGCTAGCTCCAACAAGCTGGAAAGAAAGAATTTTCTCCAGGTGAACACACTGGGCACTGTGTCAGGCTCAAATGCAAAACATACTGGTTCAAGTGTTAACAAACGGTTTCACAAAATGGTTTAACATGAACACAACAATTAAATTACCAGTTATACAGCTGGATATCCAACTGAAAGGATGTGTTTGTTGCACCTGCGTCTGTGGATGCAATTGCAATCACTGTATACATAAAACAGCTATAAACAAATTGGCAGTAGCTTTTTCATTTCTGAACATCCTCCTTCCTACTGACTCTCATTTAACTCCTAGGCTCTGATCGTGACTGTCAATCAAGTCATTCATAGAAAAGGTCAATGACAAAGTGTATTACTAGCAGTAACTTGCTACCTCAGTGTTACTAGACTAAAACAATTCTATAAACCTTTTTTTAGTATAATTCTACCAAATAACATCATTATGCTAACAAAAAAAAAAAAAAGACATTTAGAAATACATCATTATTTTTGTGATGTCTTTTATTTCACATGAAGGTGTGGAAAAATCTACAACTACTAAAGGGCAGTTTGGCTGGCAGACTTCACCCAAAGTGGCAACAGTTTGAAAAGCAGTGCTCTAATTGTTATATGTCAATAAGAATTGTTACAACCGCAAAACCTTCCAAATACAGACCTGACTCTGTCCTAAGGTGTGATTAGCTAATTATTTTTCTTATTGCAAGACTAATAGTAAGAACAGGAACACACAAAATACTCTACCTATGAAAGAGTAGGAATTAAATTCTTGCCAATAAAGTTGTTGAAATCACATCTTTATGAGAAAGGACAGCAAAAGTTAATTGTGTTTATCACAGGAAAAGATTTACTAGCTAATTAATTCTCCTTGTGTATTGGTCAGAAAAATGGTGTTTTCAGCCCATTAGTTTTAGTTACTATATCATTTCTCATTTGTGAGAGACTGATTACAAAATCAGGCTGGCTTTTAGTGTCAACTCATTATCATTTTTCATACAGCATTTTCCATTTTCAAATGTAGCCTAATTCCAGAGTAGAACAAAGAAAATTTAGCAATTAGATGAGTCAGTTGGAACAGAAATGACAGACTATGTGTCCTACATTCTACTGATGCACTTTTTACCTTTGGATAGGAAACATGTTGTGACTATATTAAAATTGGTGTTGCAATGATTTGAATTAAAACCCAACAGAAATGTAATGAAGTAAAAAGTCAAGTATTGATGGATCTTCTAAGTAAGAAAGATGAAGGAAACTCTTGAGATGGAGGATGAGTGGAGTATCGAAACATTTGTGGAGGAAGAATGTCAAATGAATTCATACTTCTGTGGAAAATGTTTTGTGAATCTCGACTGTCAGAGGCCTATTAAATTTGCACATTTGAAAGAGTAAGTTAGTGTTTTAGAGCAGATTAATGTTAGATATAGTGTTTTACAAGAACTTTCAGTTCAAGTTTATAAGAATTCAGTTGACAGTGCTGTCAGTTACTGACAGTAACAGGAGAACATCTGTCTCCTGGAAAAGAGCGGAACTGGGAAGCTATGGCTAGTTTAAAAATGACATAGTTGCTATTTTTTGTCTGCAATACATAAACCTTGAACTGTGCTGAAACTCAAGTTCTTATAAAAATAATTTTTCAAGCCACATATTGCCAAAATAATTAATTTTATTTACTTCGATATAGATTTTCCTATGGAAATAATAATTACTTAGCACCATGACTTCCAGGAGACCACATGGTTGTTCTGTATATTTCTTAAGAGAAACCAGATACCTAAACCAGCTGTGTTTAATTTTCCCCTAAGTTATCGAGTTATCTGTAAATGGAGATAGAGATTAAGAGAGAGATAGAGACTTAATATGTTTGGACTGAAGGCATGTTTTTTCCAATTTCAGAGCTGTTCGTACTTTTTATTGATTTACAATAACATTTAGCTTTTATTTTTCTGTGATAAGATCCTAAACTCTCAATGTTCAGCATTTTCACAGAAACGTCTTTCCCTGATATAAGAAAAGAAACAGCAACAGAGATGAAAGTACGTCCTTCCCCAGCCCCCTGCAATATGCTGCATGTGTTGAGTCTGAAAACCTTTGAATCCCACTGTGAAAGGAAGTATTGTTAATTTAGGCTTTCTGGTCTGTTTTTCAGGAGGACAAGGAAGCTGGATTTGCGTGGGGGATCCTCACACAGAAACCACCAGGGCATGTGCAAGTCTACTTCTCCCTGTGCTCCATGAGTCATAAGAAATCAAGAACAGAAATAAATGCCCATTAAAAAGCAACAAACTCATCTATCATTAGCTGAGGGAGAAAAATATTAGATTATTAGGACATGCTTTAAAACATGCATTCATTTATTCCAGCCAAGTCAGGATAATAAGAAATCTCTGAACCTGTCATTGATGTATTCTCCATTGCTGTGAATCTGATTTTCCAGTGTGAAGTTGAAGACAAAATGTGAAACCTCCTCATTGCGGAAATGTTTCACTCGGGACGCATACTCGTCTGACTGCAGATGCTTAATGACATCAGGAAACCAGACAGATAAGCCATAGTAGCTGTGAAAAACAGAAAAAGCTCAGCTGCCAATCCCACTTGTTCAGAAATCTGTGCGAGGTGAGGATGAGCAGCTCCCTCAGCTGCTTATGTGATGAAGCAGTTGCTCCATCAGAATAAAATCCTCCATAAAATAAAACCATTGAAAGATGCTGACATCAGAAGATGTCAGTTTTCTGAAGCAGATATTCTTAATGAGTCAGGCTTGTGACCAAGAACAGAATCAATGAGAAATATAACATTTTGTGGAAAGATACTGAATAAAACCTTTCCGAATAAAAAGGATAATCATAGTGACAGAAATTTGCATGCAGATGACTCTTCTGTCTGTCGAGTCGATCAAAAATGCTTGAAGATCTCAATCACTCTTACCCAAAAGACAGGGTGAACCATACAGCTGTAAGTTTGATCGTATTATCCTTCACTGGGTAGTTGAAGCATCTCATAAACGTCAACCAAATCTGTGAATTATTAGGAAATACATTTATTTTAAATTGTATTTTGAACAAATCTCTTAAATGATAGAAGCTTTTTGATTCTAATTTGCTTGCTTCTTCATGGCATCAAAGATTGCAAATCAGCTCTTTGATACTAGTCATAGCAGTACTTCTCATGCAAGTATGCTAATCTCCAGCTATAGCCAGATTTCATAGATTTCATAGATTTCTAGGTTGGAAAAGACCTTAGAGATCATCCAGTCCAACCATCCCTAATCCCCATTAAACCATCTCGCTAAGTAGATCATCCACCCTATTCTTAAACACATCCAGGGATGGGGACTCAACCACCTCCCTGGGCAGCCTATTCCAGTGGCTGACAACCCTTTCAGAGAAGAAATACTTTCTGACATCCAACCTGAATCTCCCCTGACTAAGCTTCCTCTTGTTCTATCATGATTGTGCATGTTCTGTGACTTTCTGGCTTCTTTTCATAGAATCACAGAATGGTTTGGAAGGAAGAGGATCTCTGAAGATCATCTAGTCCAATCCCCCTGTGATGGGTGGGTCCCCTAGATCGGGTTGCTCAAAGCTCCATCCAATCTGACCTTGAACACTTCCAGGGATGAGGCATCCACAACTTCTCTGGGCAACCTCTCCAGTGTCTCAGCACCCTCATAGTAAAAAATTTCTTCCTAATGTCCACTCTAAGTCTATCCTCTTTCACTTTAAAGCCATTACCCCTTCTGCTGTCACTGCAAGCCCTACTAAAAAGTCTGTCCCATCTTTCTCATAAGCTCCCTGTAAGTTTGGGAGCTTATAAGGAGCTTATTTGAAGGCCACAATAAGGTCTCCTCAGGGCCTTCTCTTCTCCAGGCTGAACAATCCCAACTCTCTCAGCCTGTCTTCATAGGAGAGGTGCTCCAGCCCTCTGATCATTTTTGTGGCGCTCATCTGGACCCATTCCAAGAGGTCTATATCTCTCCTGTGCTGAGAACTCCAGAGCTGAACGCAGTACTCCAGGTAGGGTCTCATGAGAGCAGAGTAGAGGGGCAGAATCACCTCCCTTGACCTGCCGGCCACGCTTCTTGTGATGCAGCCCAGGATATTATTTGCTTTCTAGGCTACACATTGCTGGCTCATACGAAATTTTTCATACATCTGCATGAACTGTGTCTGGTAATTCACCTCTGCTCTGATCACCTCAAACTTTCATAATTTCTAGGCAGCTTCATTTCCTTATCTCATATAAACTAGAGATCTTGTGAGAAATGTTTTCTTTTTACTTCCCAGTATTGCACTGCTTTAAGTTTAGACAAACTATATTCCATAATTCAACAGGGGCACACCCAGAGTCTGATCTATCGTAACCTATCACAGTAAGAAACTGGTACTTTAACTGTAAGAGGAAAAGCTGACTACTCCCAGATCAGTGACTCTATAGCAGAGCTGACTGAGAAGGCTGCTCTCCTCTCTCTCTCTCCTCAACATGATCTCCTCCTTTTGAAGAAAAAAGGCAGTCTGTCCTAGGAGGTTTCAGTACACATCGTTCAACAAGAAAGGTGCTCTGACCCCAGGGGATAGTCCAGTTAGTTAATAAGGATGTGAGACAACTAAGCTGCATTTCTTTTAAAGCTGGTTTACTAAAAAGTTCAAATTATAGCATTTTAATCTTCAACTACTCCATTTTTGGACAAATAACTATACAAGTAGACACTTTCTGGATTATTTTTTTTTTCATAGGGAAAATGACATTTTTCCAAGCAAAGCAATTTTGTGACACTTTGGTTTATAACACTTTATCATATCTCTGGAGAGCTTTAAGATTCCAGATTTTTAACAGCTGTGAAAAGCTATTTGTGATGTTTTGTTGCTTTTTAAAAAAATTTCAATTTTCTTTGCAAGGTTCAAAGATACTGCATAATTTTTGTTTTGGAAAAAAGTGAAAAAGGATATGGAGCACAGTTCCAGTGTGCTTGTATTAAACTCTCTGTAATAGCTTGAATGAAGTTTTCTGATAAAACATTTGACATGCCGAAAAATGCATGCAGATACAATGCCTTATAAAGGTTTTACTGACATTCATTTACACGAGTTATTAATGACTTTACCATTT